TGCCCTTTTGCTGGATCTTTCATTATCAGGTAGGTTTTGCCAGATGTTAACCAATCTTCAATTTCAGCTCCTTGCACTATGTTGTTTAACTGCTTGGCAATGAGTGGGTGCAGAGCAGTTAGATGTTTCAATCAAAAACCATGCAGTTCATCTTCACCTGGTGCTGACCAATTCTTGATCTTCCTTGCCTTTTTCTCCACCATTTCTGCTGTTATTACAAGCTCTTTCATTTCAGCTTCCTTTTTATTCTTATCTTCCTCCTTTATCCCAGCTGCATTCTTGTTGTATTTCTTTGGGTTGTCCCATAACTGTGCCCAGAAGTGCACTGTTTCTTCTTTGTCAGGTGTTCACTGGTTCATTGCAGTCTCTCCATTGATGGATTGGTAGAAACATTTCTGATTTCACTGAAATTGGAGATTCTGCCTGTAGTGTACAATTCAAGCTTTGTATCTACTGATCTTCTTGGCTATGGCTGTTATTTGCTGCTTTATCATTTCCAGTGCTTCCTTGATCTTCCTTGTTTCTAGATGATATTTCTTGATCTTTGGTCTTCTTGTTCTTCAGCTTCTTTTCTTTCATCTGTTCTAGCTTGCTTGCATCTGACCTTAGCATGCTGATCCTATTTTCCAACCTGATCTTCCATTTTGGTGGTGCACTGTTTGGCTTTTTTTCTTGTTTGCTGATTTTGCATCCAAGATATCCAAGGTTATAACTGCAGTTGTGCTGTACATCAGTTGGTTTGTTTCTTGCAGTGCGCTGGTGCTTATATTTGATATTACACTATTGGCATTGTTTAATACTAGTTAGCAAAGAAGTAGTGCTAGCTACTTCTTTGTAACAAGCTTCAATGCAGGCAATCTTATTCTGTTTTTATGCTGTTCTAGATGCTCAGTTATTCTTTGCTTCAATTCCTCTTGGTTTTTAGTTAGAGGGCTTTGTTCTTTCTGAGAAGAAGGCTGTTCTGTCTAAGCTATTTCTGGCAAGGCTTCGATTTCTTTGCCCTGAGTAGACTTTTGCAATTTTTCCAAATCTACTTCTGTGAATAGTTTATTTTGTGTTATAAATTGATGTTGATCTGCTAGCCTCTTTTCTGTTATTTCTGATTCTGGATGTTGTTCTTTCCAGAAGTGTTATTTCTGATTCTGGATGTTGTTCTTTCCAGAAGTGTTTTGTGTTATAAATTGATGTTGATCTGCTAGCCTCTTTTCTGCTATTTCTGATTCTGGATGTTGTTCTTTCCAGAAGTGGTGCATTCTTTTCAGATATCCTCTTCTCTTTGGACATGATTTGTAATAGCAGATCATTATTTGTTTGTTTTCAGTCTTTCTATATTTGTGACAGGTAGTTCTGCAGCTGCTGGCCCTGGCTGCTCAGCCAACAGTCCTGAGTCCTGTAGCCCACTTGTCACCAGATGTCCAGGAACTAGAACACCTAGTGCGATCCTTGTTGACCCAGGCAACAACCGATCCAGTATGGGTTTCTGTAAATTATGTCTCACCATATTGTTTATGGGAGAAACACTCTTCATCTGGCTCCTCTGATGAGATCTGCCCAGTATTGTTGAACCTCTGGCATAGCTCTCATCTTCCTCGGAGCACACAAGCCCCACAACCACATCAAGGTAGTGCCTCATTGGGGGTTATCATTATCATTATTATATTTATATGCTGCCTGACTCCAAGTGAGTCTTGACATACTTGTCATGTCCATTTAACAAAGTAGGCAGAAGCACACACTCACACACAGCTATTTTTCTTTCAACAAACATTCCTTGCAACAGACCACATACTACCCACTACCCATCTGCAAGCATTTGCTTGTCTTAACATTTCCCCATTTTTCCTTCTTTTGTAAACAAGGTTCATTGTATACAAAATTCACTGGCTTGCTCTAGGTTTTTTTGCATTTATGTATAACTTGTAATTATTCACCCCATTTTCTTTATCAAATATAAGTATCTTGTTCTTTGATGTATTAATGTTCAGATCATTCTGTCTAACGGTCACTGGAAGTCATTTGAGTTCTCAACATGGCATTGCCTGCATATGAAAGTATATGCAGCCATATCCCCAACCAACACACTTTTAATGTCACCTCAAGCATTCCCTATACATTTATCCATCAATGCAAATAATTCACTAAACATTCCATTTATTCGTGAACATGATTTATTTTTATCATATACCACTTTTATCACATTTGCCAACCAACCTTCAACTCCATGCAACTTTCCATAATTCAAGCCTTTTCACTTTATTATACACTTTTTCTAAAACAGCAAAGGTAAAATGAAACAACTTTACATGAAGAATGTTTTGATCATACAATTTTATTGTACAATCTGCTTAATGAATTGTCAAAGTGTTCAAAACAATTTGAAGAACTCTGTCAGAAAAAGAGAGGTATGCAAAAATATGGTGAGATCAAAATTTAAAATTTGCAGCTATAGAGGTGAGCTTTTTTCACTTAAATTTCATTATTTAAGCTTATCCTATTTTCCAGGTAGTTAGGGGGAAAGCACACAATTTTATCCATGCCACCTTGAGCTCTATACACACACTCTAATTGTATAGTTGTGTGTGTGTGTGTATAATATATGTTGTGTGTATGCATGGATGCATATATTAGTCCTATATGGATGATGTGAGATTAAGTCTGACACATAGTGTTCTATGGTCATAATTGAATATATCTATACTAGTGTTAGTGACTTTACAGTCCACAATCTTAATTCACTGTATCAAATTTTTGCAGATGTATGGGTCTTGCAAATGTGCTATGCTAAATCAGACTGCTCGACCCGAGAAATTCTCCAGCAGAGGAACCACCTTTCGTGATCCTGACAGCCGCGGTTACCTGAATCCTTTTGGTACCGCGGCAGCCAGGAATCCCCGACCAAGTTGTGTTGTCCTGGGCACTTTGCATGACCTTCTCCGCTCCGCCTCAGTGCTTGTTACACCTTCTTCAGGTCGACCTTCCGGTGTGAAGAAACGGAATTCACCGCCGCTACAGCGGCAGTTTCCCTAGTACCCGGCGGTGGCACCGTCCTCCCGACGACTTTGTCCCTGACGGAGGTTAATGCTACTAGCGGAGCAGTGGAGGAAGTCGGTATATGATAGGCGTGGTGCCAGGATTGGCCTTCCAGGACACAGCCAGAGCCGAGGGCCAGCCGACCTTTTGTAAATCTGGGTCAAATTCTAAATGACGTTGAATGTAACCTCATCACTATCCTTAATCACGACGTACTAAAAGCGGGGCGAACCATCAGCAAATGAGCTTCCGAAGAGGGGGGTTCTTGAGCAAGTCAGGGAAATGACGTACATTCAAGGGCTTTGCCGCCCAATCGCAGCACGATTTTCCGACCGGTTGCCCCGCCCCTTGCGTCAGAGAAGGACAAAGTCATTGAGGAAGGGTGATTTTCGGCCTTTTAGAAGGATCGCCGGTCGAGGAGTGGGTCGAGGGCGTACGGGTGTTCCGCCATTTTAGGAGGTAAATTGCAGAGGGGCCTGTCAGGGAGCCTAATATTTCTCATCCCTACACTGTGGCGGGAGGGAGTCCGTCCCTGGCCGCGCCGTGGTGAATGTTCTGCGCGAGAAGGATTGCTGCTAACCACCACTGTGTTTCTCGCGTTTGAAGTTTCCTGCCGCCATGTTCTCGACTGTCGCGCCGCTTGTGCGGCTCAATCCATTCCACGCTCCTCAGCTACAGTTGCACCAGGACAGCTCCAGCCCGAGGAAGCGCCTGATTAAATCGGAAGAGGTCTCGTGCACTCGGCGGAGCCTGGCAGCCGCTTCCGCAGAAGGTGAGGCGTGAGTGGTCGGGAAAGGGCATTCCTTCCTTGGGAGGGTCTCAGCCTCTCCTTCGAGCGCCTGTTCCTTCAGTGGCACGGGCTCAGTGGAAGGGGATCTAGGTGGAACCTTCTTGAGGACAAGTAAGGTCACCGAGCCCTTGGCCAAGTTATGAAACCTAAACGAGGACCAATTGCTTTGCCTTTCCGACGCTGAAGCCCTGGGTGGTTCTTTTAGGACCCCGACCTGGCTTAGAATGAGAAGGGCCCTTAATCTGCGACCTTGAGACTGACCTGCTTTTAATCTAGCAGGAAATTATCAGGTCACCGTGGTTTAAGCTGCACAGGATGCTACTGCAAGAAAAATCCCTGGATGGAAGAAAATGAATTGTTTCCATTGTAACTAGTTAGCACAGGTTTCCTCTCTTACAACGCTAATGCTGAGAATCAGATTCTGAAGGTCACAGTTAAATTGATGGTATATCTATGGGACATTGAGTTGTGATTTCTTTTTTTTTTTTTAAGAAATGCTACATTTGTTCATAATATGTAAGTTTTACAATAACCAATATTTATTGCAGTATTAAAGCACTGAACTTAAAAGAGTAACATATTTTTAAATGTTTGTTATTTCAACAAATGCCATGTCAGTTTTATTTACACTGAAGCCTATTAGATTATTAAATTTCAAGGGTCATCCATGTTACTCTGTTAAAGCAAAACTGTTGAATCTTGCAGACCCTCATGTGGCTTTTAGAGGCACTCGCTTCAGTTGGCATTTGTACTTTTTAAAAATATACATGCCTATATAAAAATTAATGTAGATAGAAGTAATTTTAGTGGTGAATTGTAACAGTAAATGTTGTTCATAGCAGTGCTGTTTTGGTTTATAACTGTTTTGGTTTATAGAAATTTCAGAGTCTGTACCACTTTGTTCAGTACTTTCTGTTCTGCTTTATACATCTATTCATGAATACCTCTTGATTGAGAATAAAGCTCCATAATGCAGTAGAAAGGTACTGCATTAAAATAAATTGATGATTAATTATATTTTGTTTATTTTTTCATGAATGATATTTATGGTATAATTTAAATTGTATTCACATGTTAAATATTATTTGATAATTTTCCTTGAAAACTTTTATCTTTTTTTGAGCAGCATCCTACTCAATAGATTATGATTTATAAAGGTTTAATTTTAGATGTAGGCAAAGCATGTTTTGTTCCTCCGGAGAATCTCACCTAGCCATTCAGGTGGTGATCTTGCATGTTTTCAGGAGTTAACCTCCAGACTAGAAGCAGTTTGTGATGTTAAGGACATTGTTTTCCAGATATGTTACAACATGTCCAGAAGTGTAGGCTTCCAGTTTAGAGAACTGATTTCCAGAGAATTGCCAAACTACACCAAGAATTAACTAAATTGGCATGGTCTGGAATGGATCAATCCATTTCTACAAGATTCCTGACTAATTTCTTCTGCATCCCAAACAACATCCGCCTTGATACTTTCATCTGCCATCTCTAGCTCACACAATTCCAACGGATTTTCATCAGTTAACTTGCGTTTCGGGCAAAATCCAAAAGTCTGCTCCAGCTATACGTAAGAACTGCAGTACTCAGTTCCCAATGAAAGCAATTCCCATTGAAACCAATACAGGTCCAAAGAAAAGTTCATGTATTGGAAAGTAGCCTGCAGCTCTAAAGCATAGCTGGAACTGAGTCCGGCATGCACCAAAACTTAATTTTACTTCGTTCCCACTTCACCCCCACCTTCTGTCTTTGAATCTCTTCCGCGCATGTTGACAAGGTCCTCAGGTTCCCAGGTTGGTACGACCTTGGAAGTCCTGGGTGCCAGATAACAACCCATCTGCGCCTAACAGTTCACATTCCATCCCCCCCCCCCCCCCCCCCCCCCCTCCCGCTACTATGATGGCAGAAACTAAGCAAGCAAACTAGCAGTGCTGGATTGCAAGGTTCTGACACCCAGTTTCATCACTCACTCTGAAGATGATGTCCTTTTGAAACCTAATAAAACCTATTGCCTAACATAGTTTAATATATGAATAACAAGGGTGTCCTTGCTTGTACCTGGTTCAATTTATGGGCAAATTGAGATCATGTTTTAATTATGCTGAGAATGTGAAAAGAGGAAAACATGCTAAATAATTTTAAACATGAGATGCAAATAGATATCACTTTGTATGCCAACTTCTTTGTATTTCTATTTTTAAGCAGAACAATATAGCTGTGCATATGGCTCTGGCAGATTCTTCATTCTTTGTGGACTTGGTGGAATTATTAGTTGTGGTACAACACATACAGCATTGGTTCCCTTAGATCTTGTTAAATGCCGAATTCAGGTTGGATTTGCATGTCAGATGAAGTGAATTACATAGCATGCTAAAGTGTGATATCTTACTAATCAAATGAAGATGTATATTTCACCAAAGTTTTAGCCTTGCATGTGATCTGCTTAACAGCATGGTGTGTCTTTTCTTTACTACAGAAGAATATAGTTGTGAATATGGATCACTCAAGTTTTATGCTCTCTGTGGCTTTGGTGGAGTGTTAAGTTGTGGTCTGACACATACAGCAGTCGTACCTTTGGATTTAGTGAAGTGTCGCATTCAGGTTTGTATATTGCCAAATATTAGAAGCTTAACTTTCTCCTGGAATAAGATGCTGAATTCCAGTAAGATACTTCTGTTGCTTTTAACTCTGATAAATGCAGGAAGGACACACTAGAATATAAAGTAATATTGATCAATTACATAATAGTCATTTTAAGCATGCATTAAAACAAATATTTCTCATAACTGTTCTGAACTGAACCAAATTTGCAGTATGTGGTTTTTGAGAAGACAGTAGTAATAGTTGGTATGTGCTATTGATATGATCATAAACAGTTGAAAACTCTGTAACTTAATTATTCAGACATATGCTTCCAAGCCAAACACTGTGCAACTGTAACCCAAATGCAGTATAAAGGATAAATCTTCATTGTGAAACTAGGTTGATAATATTTACATTCTGAGCTGCCCAAAGTTGGTTGGGGTTGGAGGGCATCAAAACTTGAATAAATAAATATTGCACCCATGCTTGGCAATTTTGAGGTGGTAAAAAAGACAAATGAAGTCTATAATAACCATGCAAATACTGGAATTAGGATGAATTCTCAGTTCTTAAAATCATGAATCACTATATATTTCTAATGTGTGGTTGTATAAGATTACATTAAATATAAGATTTTAAAATAGCTAATCTCAGTAGATAACTACAGCTGCTTAGAAACCTTACAAGAATTTAACTTCACAGAATTAATTCCAGCTATTCTGTTTTTCTAAAGCAGCTAAATATCTTGAGGAATCTTTTTTACTACTTTGTGATCCAAACACATATTGCAGAAAATGTAATCCTGCTTACACTGAAGTCAGAAAAGCCAGAAAGTAAGAGGAAAGTGAAATGGAACAAATCAGTGCAGGGCGGCATGAGGTAGGAAGGTAGGAACAGAGAGATTGAATATCTAAACAATACTATGTTTTATCAATAAAGTATTTTAGGATATTGAACAGTTCACTTTTTATCATACTTAGGTAAACCAAGAATAATTGCTAAGACATTTCCATTGTTTCATGGCATTTAAGGATTTATGCATAGTTTTCCTAAATATTAGGAATGACATTTTTCACTTAATATTAATACTCTCCATTATGATACCTGTCTTTCTGTTTTAACACTTTTGAATTCATATTTCCATAAAAATACCATATTCTTTCACTAATGCAAGGTTAATGTATGTACAATCCTTAGTATGAGGATTTTGCTTAAAACAATATAGACCTGTTTCTAAGCAGATGCTCACCAAATAATCACTATTGTCATTCATTCTTGGGTCTTGAAATGGACCAGTCACTTTTCTGTACAATCTTAAATTGTTCCTGCCCATCCAGTCATGTCATGTGATAGAATAATTGGTTCCACAGTTATTCAGAATGTTGCTCAGTTTTTCCCCAAAATATATTCCTGATTATTTTATTATTACCATTTAATAGAGTGTAATATGCATCTATCACCAGCCACTAAATTATTACTTTCATAGGTACCTCAACAGTCTAGTTAACATAAAAATTAACCCTTTTATAAATAATAAAGTATCTACTTTCATGGATGTTTTAATCAACTCAGTATCTCAAATTACTTTCATTACGCTCTCTTTTAGTTTCATACCCAGAAAACCTATTTTTCTTTCATTAATTTAATGTGTTGATTCATGTTCTTTACCATAGACTTTTGTATTCTAAGTTGCAATCTTCCATAGAACATGGACATCACAACATGGGTTTATGTATATTGACCATCACTACCCAACATAGTTTTGATTAAGTGAGATTTTCACATAAACTGGTCTGTTCTTAGCTAAAAAGCATTATCAGCCTTAATCACCCTCATGACACTCATCATTCTCTGCTTACACTAAAAACATAATATCAGTCAATTTTGGCTCATCTTGGCCAGTACATCACAAGCAAAGGCCAGTTTTACCCTAAGCATGCTTACACTATTGTATATAAACAAGGATCTCTAATCTAGAAACTACCTTGCAAGCCAACATACTGTTGCCCACAGTCTCAACAACTAGGAGGTATTGCAGTATGCTGATAAGACAATTAGGACAGTAGTTAAATTTTCCTATTTATGTTTTATATTTCATATATTTTAGCAGCTTCAAAACTTCCAAGCTCTGTACTTTCCCATTGCTTTTCACTTTTTTTTTCTTTTTGTTCTCTGTTTCAGCAAAGCCTTTCCTGATGTTCCCTAACTTTACCTTGCAATTAAACGTTACTATCTGATCTTTCCCTTCCTTCTAGTCTGTTAGCCATTTGATACAGGTTCTAACTTCTCTTTAATGAGGCTTCTATCATTACTGTGGTTTGTGTATCTGCACATTTAAACTGTATAATACAGGTAGTCCTCTCTTAATGATGGTAATTGGGATCAGCAAGTCCATTGCTAAGCAATGTGATCATAAAGCATGACATCATGTGACGGCACCAATTTATGATGGCAGTTGCGGCAGTCCCAGTTGCTATTGTTAGGCAAATCCCACATGGTTGCAGCGTCCCACGGTCATGTGATCTCCATTTGTGACGACCTGCCAGCTTCCCCGTTGACTTTGCTTTTGGAAGCAGGCAATGAAGGTTGCAAATGGCAGTCATGTGACCATGAGATGCTGTGACATCAGCATTGCAAGCTGGTTGCCAAGTGCCTGAATCACGATCACATGACTGCAGGGGCACTATGAGAGCCACAACTATGAGAACCTGTTGTAAGTCCCTTGTTCAGCGCCATAACTTCGGTTGCTGAATGAGTGGTTATTCAGTGAGTACTATCTGTATGCAATCATTTATAATGTTGCTTATTTTAACTGACTTTTTAAAACTTGTTTAGGTGGATCCTCAAAAATATAAGAGCATCTTCAATGGATTTTCAGTTACTATCAAAGAAGATGGTGTTCGTGGCTTAGCAAAGGGATGGGCTCCAACTTTTTTTGGCTATTCCATGCAAGGACTTTGCAAATTTGGTTTTTATGAAGTTTTCAAAGTCCTCTATGGTAACATTTTGGGAGAGGTAAGCTCTTATTTGCACCTCTTAGACCTAGCATAACTTCATTTTCTTGTGATTTGTCCAGTAGAAGTTTTATGACTATTTCTGATTTGCTACACTATTTTAGGAAAATGCATATATGTGGCGTACGTCATTGTATTTAGCTGCATCTGCCAGTGCAGAATTCTTTGCTGATATTGCTTTGGCTCCAATGGAAGCTGCTAAGGTTCGCATTCAGACACAGCCTGGATATGCTAATACATTGAGGCAAGCAGTCCCCAAAATGTTTGCAGAAGAACGTCTTTGGGCGTAAGTATTTGAAATTTCCTATACAGGTTCATTGTATGTGAATTATTAATCTATCATAGTGGCAAGTTAAGGACATGTTCAAATTATATTGCAACAGTTCTGAAACAGTATGAGCCAACATGCTCCCTTAGATCCATCTTTGTTTGGTGTCTCTGCTGAGTTCTGCTTATACATTTTGTCATAAGTAGCTCCAGCTAAGAGGGATCAGCAACTTTATGGTTGCACAGTCAAAGATGCTTGAGTCATTGGCATGTAAGAATAATATACCTTCATTCTAGCTGGTTATATTCTGATAGAAATGGCTGTACTGTATGTCATTTTCTCCTATCAGAATTTGGCTGGAATGTGGACATTTTATAAAAGGGAGCTAAATTGTTTTTGCAGTTAAAGCCAAGAAGGACTTCTATGTCTGTTCTTTTTGTCTTTGTAAAAATTAACATTCTCTAATTATTTTAATTTTATTGAGCTTCTGAATTGTATCTGATCTCTAACAGACTACTAAAAACTAGAGTTTGACAGCCTTTGGCATGATTTTGCTCACTGTGCCCAAAGGGTTTGAGTTGACTATTGGTTGTTGTAGATTCCCTTTCACTCAGGCTAATCTGGTAGCACAGATCTCACCAGGCTTTCTGCAAATGCTAATAATTGGTTCTGAATGTTCTGCATGGAAATGTATCCATCACTAAATTTAAACCTCTTCTTTTCGGAGTTTAATTGTGGGACAGTAGAAGTAAGTGTTTAATTTATAATTTCCTTCAATTAAAGCTGAAGAAAGTTTCCTAATTTCCTATTATTTTGCAGTTTCTACAAAGGAGTTGCTCCACTGTGGATGAGGCAGATTCCATACACGATGATGAAGTTTGCCTGCTTTGAAAGAACTGTGGAAGCCCTTTACAAATATGTCGTTCCCAAACCAAGGAGTGAATGTTCAAAACCAGAACAGCTGGTTGTTACATTTATAGCAGGCTATATTGGTAAGGAAACATTTCTCAACTTTCAAAAAAATTGTAATAGTGATAGTTGCAATAGCCAGCTTTTTCAAATATGATACAACATAATATGCTAATTTTCAGTTTGGCTAATGGCTAATAACTTTAATAAGGATGAATAGTTGTTGCAGTAACAGGGAAATTTAATCTTAATATAAAGCCACTGAAGCACCACTTAAAAAGATCTGTTCATACCTTAATGTATGTAGAGTAGTTTTCTGTTTTTTAACAGATTCCTTTGTAGCCTGAAGCCATTGTAGTCAGTAAACACAGACTTTCCTAAAGTATTGAGAAATGTATGTGCATGCTCCCGAAAGTAAAAGAATTCTCTGAATTAGTTACTCAGACATTGTGTTTCTATACAGGTAGTCCTCGAGTTACGACCACTCGTTCAGCAACTGTTCAAAATTATGACAGAGCTGAATGAGGGGGACTGGCCGTTGCAGCATCCTCACAATTACAACATCACAGCAAGCTGCGGTCACGTGATCATGATTTGCTACCTTCCCTGCCGGCTTCCCACAAGCAAAGTCCATGGGGAAGCCATCAGGGAAGGTTGCAAGTCGCTCCTGTAAGTTGCTCCCACTGCTTTTTCTCTCAGGGAGCCCCACTACAGAGTACGAGATCCTAGGGATCTCGTACTCAGTAGCGTGCACCCGCCTGCAGCATCCTCCAACCCACATTCTGTAGCATCTGGCCACACTTGTGCAGCATTCTCCCACCCACCCGCTGCCCTTGCCCACCTCCAACCCTCACTAGCCCAGCTGCACTCCCCAGTGCGTGCCCACTGCCCTCACTACCCCATCCGCAGTTCCTAGCACCTGGCCATGGCACCAGCAGACCCACCTGCGCTCCATACCTGAGACTCCCACCTCTTCCTGCTTAATGACCTATGCAGTCCTGGGGTTATGACGGCAGCCAGGACTGCCATTGCTAAGCAATGCGGTCACATAACATCATGCTTTACGACCACATCATTTAGCAAGGGCAATCCCAGTCCCAATTGCTGTCATAACCCAAGGACTACCTGTAACCATAATACACTAACAAATAATTTAAAATTAATTCTTTTCAGCGGGTGTCTTCTGTGCCATTGTCTCACATCCTGCTGATTCTGTGGTGTCTGTATTGAACAAAGAAAAAGGCAGTTCAGCTCTGGCAGTGCTGAAGAGGCTGGGATTTAAAGGCAAGTATCAAAAGTTTTTCTTAAGAGAATCCATGAATGCTTCCAGTTACTAACACTGTTGTATTTTTCACTAGGAGTATGGAAGGGTCTGTTTGCCCGTATCATCATGATTGGTACCCTGACAGCACTACAGTGGTTCATCTATGACTCCGTGAAAGTTTATTTCAAGCTTCCTCGTCCACCTCCACCTGAGATGCCAGATTCTTTGAAGAAAAAGCTTGGTCTTACTGAGTAGATGAATCATGGACTGAATGTCTGATAATAAAACATTGTGAAACTTTATTCACGTGGCAGTGTAGGACAATAAAAACTTGTTTTGTTTGGGCTGTCACTGGTGGTCAAAATAAACAATAACTAGAAAGACTTGGTGTCATAATTTTAAGCCTGACAGGAGGAAATGCTGTCGTCCTAACCGAGAGAACCAATATACCTATGAAAATGGCGTTTTATTTACTAAGTTCTACCTTTAACCCTCCTAAATCCAAAAGGAAGGGAAACAGCATTTTTACATTTAAATTTAATAATTTGTTCTAATGTGAATTAAATATTTTTTGAAACATTAATTTAAATGGGTGATCATATAATTACGTATACAGTCAGTGGTGCAATACAACAAAATACTTTAATCCAAGCAAAAAATTAGGTAGGAATATAAACTTTATTGTTAAGGCTGTCACAAGCAAATTAATAGTATAAAAATGAAAAACTGCAATAGTATGCCATAAATACATCTACTTCTAGATAGGGTCTACCTCAACAAGCACTCAGTTTGAATCACATGTATGTGTGTGTGTATACACACACACCCCTACCTACCTACCTAATACCATAGCCGTCTATTATGGAAATATTTGAAACTAGAATCTCTATTTAAGATAACTTGAATCTGAAGTTCAGAATTAAAAATAAAGGTTTACTATGTTTTCAAAAGTATATAGATAAATTTATAAAAGCCATAAATGTAAGATTACATCTCTTAAAGTCTTGAAGGTTGTTTGATGAGGCTGGTTAGAAAGAATCATCCCACCATATAATGTCTAACAGAAATATTTATTTGAATTATATAGCTGCCCATCTTGTGTTAATAAATTACAGCTGCCACAGGAAAAAAAGCAGCAAAAATATTTTTTTAATATGAAAATGCTTAACAAAATATTACGGTATTATCTAACTATTAAAACCCTGAATCCCTTGCATTAGAAATTCTCTAAAATTTTTCTCTTCTGTTTTATAAATATACCAGGAATGTTTTGCTGAAACACGTGCTACAAATCTAAATCTTAGCAGATTTTCACCAAAGTTGAAGATATCATTAGATTTTCACTGAATTTAGTGAAAATCTAGTGGTTTTACTTGGTGAAAAATGTCTAATTCAGACAAAATTTACTGTTTGAAAATTCAATTTGCTATATTCAGCAGATTACTTTTCTATCTAATTGTGTTTTAGCATCTAACATTTTGTCAGAGTAAGGTGCTCTGATTTGTTAGAAGTGAAATGTTCTTAGATGTATTCCTATCTGTAATACTGATTCATCACTCAGTTTCAGTCTGAATTGAAGTTAAATTAGTTAGTTTTTTATTCAGGAGAGCAAGTTCCTTCTGTCTTTCTAATAGATCCCCAAGCAGTCTTCCTATTCGTAATGTTAATTCATCTAATACAAGTAGCAGATGTGCCAAATCATTCTTTAAATTGTGGACTTTAGGTTTTAAATCATTTGCAAAGGCTACTGTTGTCAAAACTTTAGCTCTATCACTTTCCAAATCTAAAAGTTTATTGAACTGCTTCGTAAAATCTGCATTCAGCTCAAATGATTTTGCCTTAATGTGCTTTACTTCTCTGGTATTTTCAGATGCAATATTTTGTAGTTTTGTAGTCCTGTCAATGCTACTTGTAAGAAGGTCCCCTATGCTCTGTATTATGGTCTTTTCAACTTTATTTACTTTGTCTTCTAGCATTTCTAGATTCTCTATTAATAAGGTCATATCTGCTTGAAGACCTGAAATGCGTCTAATGTCAGTCTTCACAGCTGCAATTTTTACAGAGATGCCCTTAGTTTTTTCCTCATATTTAGCAACTGCATCAAAGAGAGATGTTAAATTTTGCTGGAGCTCCTCCTCTTCTTGAATTGACCGACTGGATCTTATCTGCATGATGTTAATCTCCTCTTGCAGATGTTTCATCTGAGGAATTACATTAAGATCTTCCAGTTGCTTTGTCAAACTTAGTATCATCTCACACTAAAAAGTAAAAAGTCTGATAAAATTACACTGAAATTTAAAATGTTCAGATTTCCTGCAATGAAAGGTGATTTAAAATTCTCCAATTTTATCAGTAAGCTGTCATAAAAGAAAAGGAATGTTTTTAAGATGCTTTCCTTAGCTCATTAAATAAAAGATATGGTTTGAGAATCTTTTATGCTGACATTGTACCAACTGGATATAGCAGTTTCTGTACAAGCAATGGAGTTATAAGAAGCCCTCAGTGACTTGTTAAACATTCTCCATGTGATTTCCTGCCAGTGTCTTTTTGTTTGTTTGGGTCATAGGCCAGCATAAAAGTAATAACATCTGGGTCTTTTTCAACTTTGCTGGGTTGAGAGTGAGATAGTGTTTAGTAAAAAAAACAAACATAAAATTAAAACACAAGCAAATTATGGTTTGTGACAACTTTATGTACACTGTACAATATCCCCCCCCCCAAATATCCTTAAATTTATTAGATTTACAGTGAGGGAAAAAAGTATTTGATCTTGTATGTTTGCCCACTGACAAAGAAATGATCAGTCTATAATTGTAATGGTAGGTTTCTTTTAACAGTGAGAAACAGAACAACAAAAAATCCAGAAAAATGCATTTCAAAAAAGTTATAAATTGATTTGCCCACTGACAAAGAAATGATCAGTCTATAATTGTAATGGTAGGTTTCTTTTAACAGTGAGAAACAGAACAACAAAAAATCCAGAAAAATGCATTTCAAAAAAGTTATAAATTGATTTGCAGTTTAATGAGTGAAATAAGTATTTGACCCCTTCGCAAAACATGACTTAGTACTTGGTGGCAAAACCCTTGTTGGCAATCACAGAGGTCAGACGTTTCTTGTAGTTGGCCACCAGGTTTCCATACATCTCAGAAGGGATTTTGTCCCACTCCTCTTTGCAGATCCTCTCCAAGTCATTAAGGTTTCAAGGCTGACATTTGGCAGCTCGAACCTTCAGCTCCCTCCACAGATTTTCTATGGGATTAAGGCCTGGAGACTGGCTAGGCCACTCCAGGACCTTAATGTGCTGCTTCTTGAGCCACTCCTTTGTTGCCTTGGCTGTGTGTTTTGGGTCATTGTCCTGCTGGAATACTCATCCATGACCCATTTTCAATGCCCTGGCTGAGGGAAGGAGGTTCTCACCCAAGATTTGACGGTACATGGTCCCGTCCATTGTCCCTTTGATGCGGTA